TCTAGTTACCCCTTCACCTCTAGCCAATATTACAAATCCTAGACACCTAAATATTTTCATTGAGACTTAACCCTATTGTCAAATCGAAATGGTTAAAGCTCTAGAATTCCTATCTGAAGCCAAAAAGAGGTTGCCGCACTTCATTTGCTTGGCAAATGATCTGCGCTACGCGAGAACAACAAAAACCACCATCACGCTCCTTCCTTTCTTCAGTGCTACCTTTTTCTTTCTAAGGGATGGCATTAGGATATATGATAATCTTTTTTTTTTTTTTTTTTAGGATGCCTAGGAACAACTCCTAAAGAAAAAATGTTTGAACCTCATGGGTAAGGATAGGGTAACGAGATTGATAGATAAATTCATAGACTTATGTTGACGGTCAAATTTCACCAACAAAAAACCGGCCGGGTTACCTCTTAGTTTCCCTTTAGATTACCGGTCTGTGTGTGTAGTGAACGTATGAGAATTTATTGAATATGTGTTTAACTAAATTAAGCATGGACAAAACAACACAAGGAATTTTATAGTGGTTCACTCTATAAAATTAGAGCTACATCCACTGTGATTTTGTATTTCTTTTGAGAAGATTACAATTTACAACAATTGCTCTCATTAAATTTCTTTTCTTTTTGGAAACCTCTTAACCCCTTCCTTACTGGGGGTCTTTCTCCTTTTATACCGGGCTTCCTTCGCTTAGGCGGTTTCCTTCATAGGTGAAAGCACTCAAGTGCTCTCCCTTGGTAGGCCCAGACGTAGCCCACTAATTAGCACTGTTCACTCAGCCAATTAGTCTCTTATTACGGCTCTGTGCTTCTCCGTAATGCTTTCCTGTCCCCTGTGGGGCGGTTTGAGGGCTTGCAATTAATGCTTGCAGACGTCTTCCACTTTTGCACGCAACCCGTCACGTCCTCTAAAGAACGTTCCCCTCGTCGTCAGCGCTACTTAGCCCAATCGCCCTCTTTGGCGGTTACTTCTGCGGTCGAGGGATCTCCTCACCTTGATCTCGACAGCACGATCTGTCGATGCCAGAAAGAATCGTCGCCCACCATTTGGACTTCGTGCTTTGGGCTTTCCAATGGAATAGGAGGGAGCCGTAGACGTCGAGGGTTGTCGCTTGGCGGAGAGTAGTCAAGGCCACGTGTTGCATTACCGTTCGTCCATGTGTCTGCCACATTTTCCCACACAACAGCTACCCCCCAGGTCGAGGGCTCCTTTTAGGCGGCCTCAAGCTTAGGTTCGGTTGTCCTTCCGTGCTTCGGGTGTGGGAAACCGGTCCCAAGCCTTCGCCCGTAATGATGGCCTAGGCGCTTCAGATTTCCTTCGGGGGACGCAATCGTCGCGTCGGTTGATTTCTCATGATGATGTACGGCCTTTATTTTGAAAGGACGAATATGGACCCTTGGATCGCGACCTCTCGGTTTCCCGCCCTATTTTATCACCGTCAGATCCGGGCATGATTCCCTTGCCGTTGGATTTTAAAGTCTTCATCCAACGTTCAGGGTAGAGGATGTATGTTTCTTTAAATACCCTCTACGAACTCGAGAGCCATTTTTTTAAAACTTCATACTCTCTTCGCACCTGTTGGACTGCCGCCTTCTTCGTCGGAATCTTTCCTCTCTAACCTCTAGTTCGTGCTTCTTGCTCTTCGAGGCGTATCGCGAAGCCCTTCTTTCTTCAAGACTTTCCCGGGAACCCTTCTTCACCGGTAAGCCTTTCCACCCTCTATTCCGTTTTGTTTTTTTCGCTATGTGTGTATATATATATATATATAATGCGCGGAATGTAGGAGTTAGGGAGACTTACTCTGTTTTATTTTTCCGCATTGGATAGTTTTGTCCCCATCTCTTTGTTGTCTGTGCGCTTTTGGTTTTGGGGTTCTGGGGAACCCGGAATTCTATGAGCACTCGCCGTTACCATTCTCATATGAATGGTCGACGTCAAGTCGAGGCGTTTGAGTAGTCGTCGCTTAGAATAGCCATCCTTTCTTCCTCTCGACGTTAGGGTTTTAACTTAGCCTATTGTCTTCATAATTACCAGAACAATGGCCCAAAGTTCCCCCAGTCGAAAGGATTCTCCTGTCGTCCGTCCAGACCCCCCTTCTATGGTAGAGATCTCATGGTCTTCTTCATCTTCCAGCGTCGACTCTGTGCTGAGGGACATTGAAGATGTCGAAGAAAGATATGAACCGGGCGACGACTTCGGAAGTGAATTTGGTAGCGTCGAGCGGTTTCTGGATGAGATAGTTGAGCGGTTCCCCTTCACCGGGGGCAGAGTAGGCGGGGTGGCTGCCACGATGGTAGATGCCCCCCTGGCTGCCATAAGTGGTAGCTCGGATAGGCCTTTCTTCACAGTCGACGTTGTGGCGTCGAGGGTCCGGAACAAAGATATCATCCGGACTGTGAAGGAAGGATGCATCGATGGGAGGTGGTTCGAATACCTTCTCCCGGACATGCATTTTAGAACCAGCATGCCGCCGATCGGATACCTTCCGATCTATACTAGAGCGGTTACGGCGGGGATGACCCTCCCAGTCCATTTCTTTGTGAAGAATTACTGCCATTTTTATGGTATTTCCCCCGCTAAGCTGGCACCGAATTTCTGGTACTGCTTCGCCGGTGCTTGGATTTTATGGCATCAGCAATTCGATATGGAACTCCCTTTGGATGAGTTCCGCTTTATGTATAAGCTATGCCACGTCGCCAAGTGTGAGGGGTGGTATTTTTTGAGTGGGCACGGGAGGTCTCAGCCCAGATTTGGGAAGCTTATACTGGGTATTCCCTCGTCGTCACACGGGTGGAAGCCCATGTTCTTCATGATTCGGGGCCTTTCAACTTTCACCCCAACGACCGCCTGCCCCATTGAAGGCAGGTGCAGGTGGCGTTTGGGAATATAGGTAAGTCTATTGGCTTTCTTTTATCTGACTTTACTTTTTGTTCATATGTTGATAATCTTTTACCCTTCAGTTAGCCAGGACCGGCCAAAGTTTTCTGGCAACAGTTTGGCGAGGATCGAGAAGGCTTTCTCTTTTTCGTCAGACGTTCGCCATATCGACATGCTTCTGGTCGAGGCCAACCTTCGCGCCGCCAGTTTAATCTTTGATCTCCTCAACCCTTCGGACCTAGACGTCATCCGCGCATACTTCCACCTAAGCGACGAGGGTAATTCTTACTTTCGATGCCTTCCCTTATTACGGTTCTTGTTTTTCAAATGCTGATCATATATTCGTCTCGTCGTTTCCGCAGAGATGGCATCATTGAGAATTCAACTTCCTGGCAGTCGGCAATCTGGGCCGAGCCAGCAGCCGCCATCGGACCAACAGCCCCCGCCGAGCCAACTGCCCCCGTCGAAGGGAAAGGAGAAAGCTAGCTCTTTTTCCCACGTTCTGAGAAGCAAGAAGACCAAGGGCCCTTCGGGGTTGGAGACGGATCTTGTGCGAAAAAAGAGGTGCAAGGAAACGCCGGTGGTAGAAACGTGGACGCCAATGGTCCCTATTCCTGACGTCGACATTCCGCTGGTGCCGAGAGAGCACGTGCTTATCCCGGGGGCTAAAATTATGGACCCCAAGTTCCAAGTCATGGACATATCTGATGCCGAGATTAAGGCGATGCTGAAACTTCCTCCTCGCTTCTCCCTTGTTTTTCAGGCTCTTTATGAGTCTTTCCTTGAGCCCCACTGGATTGCTGCCTCTTAGTCTTCTCTGGTCGACCATCAGCGCAAACAAATCTCCTTCCAGATTCATGTACGATTCGGTCGATTTTTTTTTTACTTCATCTTTTCTAATTTCCAACTTCCCAGAGCCTTGTTCTTTTAATCCTTAACCTTCTCGACCTAGTCAAGGTTGATGAGCGTAAAAATGAGATGGACAATGTGGAGGCCAAGCTCAACTCCCTTGTTTCTGACGCTAACAAAAAGTTAGATGATGCCGTCGAGAAGAGGGACGTGGCCTTGGCCAAGCTGGCGAGCTTGGAAGATGAACTAGTAAAGTTGAAAGCTGAGGTCGCGAGTCTCACGGAGCGGGCAGACCTGTCTGATAAGAAGTTGTCCGAAGCAGCTGAGGAAGCGAAGAGGCGTTTCGCCGAGGGGAAGACTGAGGGGAAGAGGGAAGCCGAGGCAGAAGCTGCTTTTGCTTTCGACGCCAAGTGCGCTGAGATTATTGAGGAGTTCAAGGCTTCTCAGGAGCTCACTGACATCCGCACTAGGGATTTTTAATCTGCGGGTCAACAAATTGTCGACCTGGTCAAGAAAGAGCGTCCAGAGTGGGACTTGAGCTTCCTTTATAACTCTCCTCCTCCTGCTGGTGACGACAATGTTTTCCCGCCTGGTGACGGCGAAGAATCGGCCGCTGGCAGCGAGGCCTGAATGATTTTTACCTGTCTCTCTTTCGTTTGTAACTTATTGTCGATTCGGACATCTTTTATTTTATTTGCACTTTATATATATAAAAGATAACAGATTTAATTTATACCTTAATTTGTAATTGCTGCTTTCTTAGAAAATTCCTTAGAATTTTACTAAGTCTTTGCCTTTCCTTCTTGGAGGATCTAACGCTGATTTCACCCCTTGGGGTCGTCGCTTTAGAAAATCCCTTAGGATTTTGTTAAGTGTCCGTCTTTTCTCCTTGGAGAATTTGACGTTAATTACACCCCTTGGGGTCGTCGTCTTAGAAAATTCCTTGAAATTTTGCTAAGTCCTCGTCTTTCCTCCTTGGAGGATCTGACGTCGATTACACCCCTTGGGGTCGTCGTCTTAAAAAATTCCTTAAAATTTTGCTAAGTCCTCGTCTTTCCTCCTTGGAGGATCTGACGTCGATTACACCCCTTGGGGTCGTCGTGTCATTTTTTAGTGATCCGTGGACCTCTGTCCCCCCATGTCTGTTTAATATAACCTTGGTTTTTTAAGCAGACATGTTATTAAGGGGTGAATTCTTCTCTTTCTGCAAACATGTCAATTTATTCAATTTGTAAAGAATGTACAATTGAGATATGTAAGAATTTCATACACTATTGGTAGTATAGCCTTAGCTGTTCTACATTCCACGGGTGTTGAATCCTTTTGCCGTCGAGGCTTTCCAAAACGTAGGTGCCGGGGCGTAGCACTTCCTTTATGCGGTAGGGCCCTTCCCAAGTTGGTCCTAGTGAACCAGTATTTTTGGGTTTCGTGCTCTGCGTTACCCTTTTTAATACTAGGTCTCCTGGGACGAACCTTCTCTGCCGAACTTTCTTATTGTAGTATCGCGCTGTTCTTTGCTGATAGGCGGCGAGACGTAGTTGGGAGTCGAGCCTTTTTTCTTCTAACAAGTCGAGTTCTCCGTTCATGCCTTCCGCGTTGTCATCGTCGTTATGGATGAAAGTTCTTAGAGTCGGCATTTCGATTTCTACGGGGAGCACCGCCTCAATGCCATATGCCATGGAGAAGGGTGTTTCACCCGTGGTAGTTCGGCTTGTCATTCTGTATGCCCATAGGACCTTGGGAAGTTCCTCGGCCCATTTCCCTTTCAGATTGTCGAGTCTCTTTTTGAGGGTATACTTTAATATTTTATTGACCGCCTCGACTTGTCCATTTGATTGTGGATGGATTGGTGCCGAGAAGTCTTTCCGGATGCCCAAGCTATCACAGAATCTGCGCGTTGAGGCGTTGTCGAACTGCTTTCCGTTGTTAGACACTATCGAGTGGGGAACCCCGAACTTGCATACGATGTGGTCCCACATGAATTTGGTGCAGGCTGCTTCCGTGGTTGTAGTTAGAGCCTTTGCCTCTGCCCACTTCGTGTAGTAGTCTACCGCAACGATTGCAAACTTTAATCCTCCGGGTGCAAGATGTAGTGGCCCGATCAGGTCAACTCCCCATTTGGCGAAGGGCCATGGACTGAGAATGGAAGTTAAATTTTCTAGGGGTGCTCTGGGAATTGTGGCATACCTTTGGCATTTATCGCAACGTCAGGCGTATTGAAAAGCGTCCTTTTTGAACGTGGGCCAGTAGTATCCTTGCCTTAAAACCTTCAGAGCCAGAAACTGTCCCCCAGCATGGTTACCACAGACTCCTTCATGGATTTCTTGGAGGACCTTCTAGGCTTCGGCATCACCTAGAGACCGTTGTAGAGGTGTTGAATAGCATTGTCAGTAGAGCAAGTCGTCGTACAATAAGTACCTAACAGCTCTATACCTGATCCGTCTGGCTTCATCTTTATTATCTGGCAGTTGTGCATCCATTAGGTATTGTATGCGCGGTGTCATCCAATTTCCACCTGCTTGGATGATTAATGCCTTAGCTTGTTCTTCAATGGTCGGCCGCTCCAATTCTTCGATGGGAATGACCCCCAGGGTGTCAGAATCTCTTGAAGATGCTAGTTTTGCCAGGGCGTCGGTGTTTGCGTTTTCGGCCTATGGTATCTGAAGTATTTCATAATTTTTGAACTCAACGAGTTCTTCCTTTACCTTTCTCAAGTACGCCCCCATCTTCTCGCTGCGCGCTTGGTATTCTTCCTTTACCTGCGCGACGACCAATTGAGAATCGCTGAAGACGCTGAGCCTTTCGATCCTCAGGTGGCTGGCTAACCGTAGTCCGCTAATTAGTGCTTCATATTCCGCCTCATTGTTCGACGCCTTGAATTTAATTCGAACCGCCGAGGTAATCTTGTGGCCTTCGGGGCTGATTAACAAGACGCCGGCTCCTGACCCATTTTCGCTCGACGCCCTATCCACGTAGAGCTTCCATTTTGTAACCTCGACTTCTCCAGATGCGGCGGGAGCTGGTCTATGAGAGAACTCAGCCAGAAAAGCGGCAAGCACCTGGCCCTTGATCGCAACTCTTGGCACGTATTTTATGTCGAACTGACTTAATTCTACCGACCATTTAAGGAGTCGACCGGAAGTTTCGGGCTTCTGTAGAGCCTGTCTCAGCGGGTGGTTTGTGAGAACCCGTATTGTGTGAGATTGGAAATAGTACCGAAGCTTCCTTGAAGCTACCATCAGGGCGAGGGCTAGGCGCTCCATTTCCTTGTATCTCAACTCGGTGTCGAGGAGCCTTTTGCTCACATAGTAGATTGGCAATTGCACCCTCTCTTCTTCTCTTACTAATACGAAGCTTACGGCGTGTTGGGACACGGAGAGGTATATGCCAAGCTCTTCGTCGACGTTTGGTTTTGACAAAATTGGGGGCTTGCCCAAATGCTCCTTCAATTTCTGGAAGGCCTCTTCACATTGTGGTGTCCACTCAGAGCGCTTGCTTCCTTTCAAAGCGTCAAAGAAGGGGACGCATTTGTCGGTTACTTTTGATATGAACCTGTTTAGGGCGGCGACACATCCTGTTAATCTTTGCACTTCCTTTGGTTTTGTTGGGAACCGCATATTCTGTAGGGCTTTGATTTTCTCAGGGTTAGCTTCAATCCCACGATTGCTGACCATAAAACTGAGGAATTTCCCTAACCCAACTCCAAAGGCACATTTCTGGGGATTGAGTTTCATGTGGTATGTTCTCAACACACCAAACATTTCCCCCAGATGATTGACGTGATGGCTGGCCCTGGTACTTTTTACAAGCATGTCGTCGACGTAGACCTCCATCGTTTTGCCGAGCTGTTGAGTGAACATTTTATTCACAAGCCTCTGGTAGGTAGCCCCTGCATTTTTCAGGCTGAAGGGCATCACCTTGTAGCAGTAGAGGTCCCTGTCGGTTATGAAGGATGTATGCTACTCGTCGACTGGATGCCTGGGGATCTGGTTATATCCGGAGTAGGCATCCATAAAGCTCAGCATCTCATGTCCCGCCGTGGCATCGACCATTTGGTCTATTCGAGGGAGTGGAAAGCCATCCTTTAGGCAGGCTTTGTTGAGATCCCTGAAGTCAACGCATGTCCTCCAGTCCCCGTTGGGCTTGACCACTAGAACGGGGTTTGACACCCAACGCGGATAATGGGCCTCCCTGATGAACCTATTATTTATCAGCTTGTTGACCTCTTCTTTCAGCGCTTCATACCTCTCGGGGTTCATCGGTCGACGTTTCTGAGGCTTGGGAGGATATGAGGGGTCGACGTTTAGGGAGTGACATATTACCTCAGCGTCGATCCCTTCCATGTCGGAATGATTCCAGGCGAAGACATCTAAGTTCTTCCTGAGGAAGTTTTCGATCTCAACCTTAAGATATAGGGCTAAGCCTGAGCCTATTTTTAGCACTTTGGTGGACTCGCCTTCATCAACTTAGATCTCCACCAACTGCTCGACGGGTTGAGACCATGTGACTTCCTCTTGGATTCTGGGATCTACGTCCTCGACGAGGCTCTGGTGAACCATCCTTGCCTTCTGTCTTCCTGGTTAGTCATATCCGCACAGGGCGTTAGAGTATGCAACCCTAGCTTCATACTGGTTGCTCTTCATTTCGCCCATGCCATTTGAGGTAGGGAACTTAACCTTTTGGTGGTAAATGGAAGTTATGGCCCTTAGCGCCTGAAGGGTTGGTCTTCCGA